TCCTTATTTGTCTGTTCTATCGGCTCTCTGAGGAGCTCTCTATCTGTCATAGACTGCAATGTTTCAGACATGAAGCTGTAGTCAAGCAGCCAGAACTTGGGCCTTTTGTGTACATCATATTTTCAGCCAGTCATGTGACTAAACTCCTTCAAACATTGAATTTTTATATCTCTCTTGTACTATTATATCCACCCTGCCGTGTAAGTCGCATGGTTCTAGTCTGTTTTAATTAAAATACACCGTGATTCTTGCGTTTTGCAATGATTTATTTTTTTCTCATCAGGGACCAAGAACTCCAATGGCGGTGAACAATGGTACTGCAGTAGTGCCAGTGGTGCCCAAATCGACAAGTCGTCTACCGATCCCTTCATTTGACAAAAAAAGAATGAGGGCTCCAAGTGATGATTTGAACGAGGTATGTACTACATTGTGAATGAATTATTAATTTTTTTTAGTGTGTATATGTAGCATTTACAAAGGTTGCCTACTAGTAAAAACATGAGAAACTGTGCATTGTCGATACTTATTTCTGTATGTAGTTATGTGTATTACTGAAAGAATTGTTTTTTTAGATTTGTAATCAATCAATTACTTGTGCTTTACTTTACTAGTCACAAATGCAGGATGCCAAGCGTCCAAGAACAAATCACGGTGAACCTGAACCAAAATCCATTGGTGGAGGTAGGCCTATTAAAAGGTCAACCAGTGGGTCTGGTCTTAGAGGCAAGAGACCAGGACCTACAACCTCTCTGCGGAAGCGAGCTGCAACACCCCCAGCTTCTACCAGTATTAGAAAGAGGCAGCCCACTCCCCCACCACCAGGTAAAGTGTCTTACCCATAGTCTTGAACAATTTTTGTCAATGGATTTTTTTTTACTATTTCAGCTGTAACACAATAATTCACTTGCTTTTATAATGGCTCTGAGAATTATCTAGTCGTTAAATTTTCAATCATGAAACATCATTCATGTCCTCTTAAAGTTTCAAAATGATGTAATGGATTAAAAATGTGGCGTTCAAATCGACCACTATGATTGGTTGCCTAGTCGTTTTTCTGGAGTATTAATAGTTAGACGATTACAAATTAAAACAATATCTAGGCAATTTTTTCAGACTTTCACTAGAGCATACTTTTTATAGGAATTGGTGTTTTTGTATACATCTCGGTAATTTTTAAATCAAATGTGGTGGCCAAAAGTAGAATTTAAAGTGTTCGTGAGATGGCTGCTATTTTCTCGTCTGAAATCATTCCTTGCGACATCAATATTAATATTTTTTATGTTTCTAAGCATAAAATACCCCTTGGTAAGGAGGGGGGGGGGGGCTTGCTGGGCAGTTGGCATTGTCGATACGTGTATATGAGGCCCATTTCTTGTACAGTTTTCTTATCTTTCACTAAATTGCCACCTATGTACTTGTTCGTTGAGGAAGAATGGACCTTAGTGAACACATAATATCAAGTTTGAGCATAGGGTTGAGTTAGAGTTGCGTCCTTTCTGGCCTAGCTGGTCACGGTGATAGTCACCATCACTGGCTCACGTTTGTACACTGTCACTGAACAACATTTGAGTTGGTAACAAGTTAGAAAGCACTACAACAGATTGGTCTGGACTACACAATTACTTATATGGTAGTCAGTGGAAATGTTAACTTGTATTTCCTCAGAACTCTCTATGTCGCCTATGTCGATCATCGCCGGGGTTATCAAAATTGTATTGAACGCCTGAATTGTCTCGTTATTTAGCAGGTTGCTGCACATCTATCGTCTGAGTAGAAAAAAACATTCAAAATTAAAATAAAACGAGAACATATTTTGACATTCTAAACATTTAACTATAGAGTTTTACTATAACATTTAAAATAAAGAAATAATTTTTTAAAAAACCATCAAATCAGTTACTAAATAAACGACAGCTACGTGGAAATGAATTGATATTCTGTTGAAATGGGTGAACGCTTTGGGTCACGACGAGGACAAGTGTGTGAATGGTGGCAATTTGGTTGGATAACAAAAATAATGGAGAGCAACACATATACAGACAAATTCCGAATGTCATAATTATGACACATTAAAAATTTACTTGGTTGAAACACATTGACAGCCAAAGCCCAGATTCTTGTTCCATAAATTATTACGCAAATCAAGCTGCAAGTAAAGGTAACGGCTGAGAATTCGACATTGAACACCAATCACTAAACAAATTCGGCCTGCGAAAATGAAAACAATTAGTAGTGTGCAAGTGCTGCGTAATTTCCTGTTTGTCCAACGCTTCGCTTTCGTGTCACTATCAACATTATTGCTACGTCTTACGTAACAACTAAATGGTTTCTATAAAGCGATATTCAGGATCACAATAAAAGTCAAATCATTTGAAACACTTACCCGACGTCATTCACCCTTCTGAAATCCGCCTCGGTGAACATGGGCTGCCCATTTCAGTGGGACACAGTGCCTAAATTAGGAAACATGTTGGTGGGCATTTCACAGGTACTTTAATGCTTCCGGAAAGGTACAGTCATTGTTTCCATGGTGACAATTTTGGATACCCTTTATTTTCATTTTTGCTTGTAATTTCTTTGTTTGTAATCTATCAATCGTATTATAGCACATTTGTAGAGCTTTTAAAATTTCTTGTCTAGTTAGCTATGTCAGTTCTTTTAATCTTTTAAACTTTGTCAAATGGATGAGTCTTAAATCTTACATTAATGTCCTCCATGCAGCTAAAACAAAACCGCCTCCTACAGCTGCAAGATCGCTTACAAGAACTGCTGCTGCTACCTCTAAGTCTGCGGTGGGACGCCCACAAGCAAGCAAAGCTGCAAATGCTCAATCAGCTTCTGGTATGTTAATTTCTAGTGTCAGTTCAATATGGTGTACGGTTACCATATTTATTCCAACATGGAAAGTTACAATGTAGTCGAAAAATGTGGAAAACCTGTCCCGGGTTGAACCAACTGGATTAAACTTTTACCTTGTTGTGCCTTAAATGAGTGGTTCTATTATTAGAATGCTTTCAAGTCAGTGATAACATAATTGCGGAAGTAACCCATATGTGGTAAAGTCAATGTAACAGTTAATGAAACTGACAATATTAGGGTAAACCTTTTCGCCACCAGACTTTCTCGCCCAAATTTTTCTGTACTTTTTTCTTATGTTCTTCAATATTTCTGGAAATGAACCCTAATTGTAAAGCCAATAAAAAAAATTTGAGTAAATTTTCAGTTTTTATCTAAAAATTGTCAATTTTTATGCAGACTATAAACAAGACTATTTTGTGAATTTTTGTGACTGGTGGTGAAAAGGTTAAAGAAACAGGATTTTAAACATCTGAAAAAAACGACGAGATTTTATGTTCAAACAACAAGATTTTAAATAAAATGGTAAAATAATTTGCTTCTCTATGCATCATAGGTGCTATTAGTAAAACCAGCAAAAGAGCAGCGTGGGATTACAAGGGACGTCTTCAGGATATGACGTCAGTCGTGGACTCAATGAAGAACAGTAATGCTGAAATGCAGCAAGTGATGCTTGAAACTCAAGAAAGAGTCTTGCACTTAGAGCAAGAGAGGCAACAGCTGGAGGGCACTGTACAGGTTAAAGAACGCCTGACCACTGAAACTGAAGAAAAGGTTCGTTCATTGGAGCAAAATCTTCGGTAAGTGGCTTCAAATTTACGAAAATAAAACAGTTAGTTTTACTACAAAATAATGTGATATCATGTCACTCCAATTGCTGCATTCCCTAACAATTGCCGTCAATTTCACCAGAAATTTTGTGTTCAGTAATTTTGGCCCCAAGGAAGCCATAGAAAACTCC